ACACCTCAATGCCTACCGCCCAGTCGTGTGTAGAATCCCACCATGTCTCGGTTAGTCCGACTAGGTCATACTGGGTGCTAGCAAGCAAGAGTGCGAGCTCCTCCTGCTTGTTCCCCATACTCCTGGCATTTGTATAAAGACGTTTTAGTCCCCCAAAGGGGGCTCTTGGTGCCCCTGTGCCTTGATGGCGTGTGTTCCCTTTATTACTTACCTGGTGTAGTCTGGTGCCTTGTTTATGGCTTACCAACCCCTTAATACTTATCTGGTGTGATCTGGCGTCCTGTTTGTGGTTTACCAACCCTGGGCTCTCTTTGACCACCGGTTCCCCGACCCCAGTCGAGCCTAGTTTAAAGCTCTTTGGAGGAGATCAGCCAACCTGCGGGCGAACAGATACTTACTTCTGGGAGAGAGATGAAGATCATCATCTCCCAGGAAGCCTCCTCCCTAGAAGTGCTGGTCATGGCTGTAGAATCCAAAGCTCTCCTGTAGATACCAACTCTGGAGGTTGGTTTCATGACTTGTATGACAGGTTCCATGACTTGTATTTTTTGCAGTGCAGTGTACAAACCACAGAATTGTTTTGTATCATAATATTGCCATTATAGATCTCGCTTTTAGTGGGTAATAAAAGAAGAACTGAATGCAGTCTTCAGTGCTATGTGTTGGGCTATGGGGAACCCAACTTAATTTGGGCTTTGTGTATAGAGAAGTCAGCGTACTGATAAGCCTCAACTTTGAAAAATGTTTACCTTGGGTTCCAAGTAACTAGTAGCCAAGACATGATGCTCAGATGGGACTACTTTAAATGAACAGCATGTGAAGAGTAAGCCTTTCTGTCCAGCCACTGTGTGCACACAATCCTGTTTGTATAGAAAAGAAATGACTTAATTTTTATCATGGCCTTTTTTTTTTCCCCAGGGGGATATTCAGACTGCTGGCCCAGTACCAGCTGGAGAACCAGGATAATCCCTCTTACCCAGGTACGTGCTTGCATGTGGCATTTTCTTTCCCTGTGTCAGCATTGCCAGATTAGCTGTGTTGGAAGTTGGGTTCTTTTGCTGTAGGTGGTGTTGTCAGCAGCAGATCTGCTGGAAACTACAGAGCCGGTGGCTCCTGATAACATTTCAGCAGAGTATCATTTTAGCAGTACTAGTCATTGGACTGCATGCCCTGCCCTTTCACAGAGAGCCAGACAAACAGCTGGATTTGTGGAATCTTTTCCTGCTGTCATGCAGCCTGATATGACATTAGGAACACACAAGCAGAAGTTGCCTATTGCATAACATCCAGTAGTGAAGGTTGGGAGATGAGACTTCCTATTCCCGGTGCTCCCCTTGACTAACTGTGTGATCTGTGGCAAGCTCTTAACCTGCTCACTTATACAGTGGTTCATACAGAGTGCTCTGCTAATATTCATTCTCACACTGAAATTTGCATACAAGTGGTGTTCTTATAACTGAGGAAGATGGAGGAAAAATAGGAGCTGTGCATTGAAAAATGCATTGGCCTGTACATTTAAGGTGCTCTGAAAGTTTCCTTTTAGTATATGTAGGGTCTGGAACTATCAGATGTACCACTAATTCACAAAATCATCTTAGGTTTGGCTGCATCCTTAGAAGAAAGCTGTATGAAATATAGGCCAGAATGTAGAACGTATGCTCTCAGTTGGATCAGAGGGGTGGCTACTATAGTAAGAGATTTCTTCCCTCTCTTCCGAAGAAGTTAATTAAAATTGTGTATCTTAGTATCACTGCTTCGTTTTGTTCAAGTGATGCAGGCTTAATACTGGGAGAAGAATCTGCTTTTTCAGGGTTGGGTTGGTGAAACAACTCTGTCCCTCTAGAGATCACATTTATCTTTAGAATCTGCTTTTGATAGTGTTTAATTTTTTAATAACTCTCCTCCACACCCAGGGCTCTCCTTCCAAGACTTCTACCAGCAATGCCGGGAGGCCTTTCTTGTGAACAGTGACCTCACTCTCAGGGCTCAGCTGACAGAATTCAGGGACCACAAGCTCATTCGAACCAAGCGGGTAAGTTGGAAGAAGCCAACATAACTACTGTTACAGCTGGTGGGTGACCTATTAATGTATGTGCTTGTTGCTGAGACAAAATGAAGCTTATCTCTGGTGGTGCTGCTGTATTAGTCACATTTTTGGACTTGCCAATGGATAACGGGTGGGTATGCAAGAGGACTGAACATCCAGAGATTTTATGTCCACAGATCTCAGTGCCAAGAAGGGAGCTGCACATAGCATCTGAATATTCTTTGCATTGAAACGAGACTGTAAGACATGCACCATGGCTTAGTTATATAGAGCTCTTCCTGGTATTTCTCAGAATCCCAATTAGTCAAAGATCCTGAGGAACAATTTGGATAACTCAGAGAGATTTGGGTTCTAAAGCCGAATAGGTGACTGCTTGCCAGCTCCAGCAGTGAGGTTGTATGCTTAGTCTTTGAAGCCTGGAGCACTGTGTAAAGTAGTGTGATTCTCAACCAGGGTGCCATACAATGTTTGTACTATTCAATGTGCAACATAATTTGCAAGATTTAAACTCAGAAATTTTAAATAAGAATCAATGTTAAAACAATCTGACCTGTTGTGGTCTTTGAGTTGTTTGCAACAGAAGAACTGCTCTTATTTTTCCATAGTCAAAAAGAGTGAAAACTAAGAGCTGACACTTTTGAGGAATGCCTTGACTCTATAAAGGTTGAGAACCACTGGTGTAGACTATTTTTCTAGCAGTAAACTCTGCATCAGAAGGCTGTGACTGTCCTCTAGCTGTGTTGCTTTTTACTTCCTCATCCACGGAATTTGCTCTCCCACTGAAGGCAGGTCTAGTTTTTTTTAATAAATTCGTGTCAGTGCATTGAATCTATGCAGTGGCTCATATTGTACTATTCATCCTTGCTCTTTCTTTCCCAGGGTATTATGTTAATGGTGCATGTGTCTGTTTACAGGGAGTCGATGGAGTGGAGTATTTATTAATTCCTGTAGAAGTTGGAACCTTGATGGATTTCTTAGGAAAAGAGGATGAAGATGTGTGACACACCTCTCCAATCCCAAACCATCTATGGTAATTACTGCCAAGGACTTGCACTCAGATCAGCTATCCCTTTTGTCAGGGGAGCTGCTGGAAAGTTCCCTGAAATGCAGTGGGCATTTAAAGCTGTCCAGAACTACTTGAAGTTGTTTTGTGTAAAGAGTTCTGTAAGGTTGGTCTGCTCAGTCTCTCACCTCAGATGATGCCTTCTTCATATCTATGCAGCCTCCATTATCAATAGGCAAACTAACTCTTCAGTAAGATTGTGCCTTCAGTACATTACCTCTCCAGAGATGAAAGTTTGGCTGGAGCAGCTTATTTAGGAAGTGCAAATGACTGGATGTTCAAAGCTATATTTTATAATACAGATGCAATTATTCACAGCTAAATGCTTTCCAGTTGTCTGCACACCAGTCACATGGATGGGCTTCCAGTGCATGAAGAGGCCAAGACTTAGAATACCTAAGAAACCAAGCTGAACCAGGCGAGTCAAGCGGGGTAGAATACAAGTAGGCTTGGGAATTGTGGGTAATTTGTTAAATCTTTTACCTGTGCTGGACACTGACAAGAGGACTGAGGTTTTTCCAAACTCCAGATCTCTATTGAAAATTGTGAATTAGCAGAACTGTAGCCTTTTAAATGATTAGTAGTTGGAGAATCTAAATGTTTACTTTTCCTGCTTCATGGAATGTACAGAAGACTGTGGTGTGTGGTTTGTTTTTTATTTGCTTGTTTTTACAAAGAACAAGAATGTCCCCTCCCTGATATTCCTGAAAGATTCCTTCCAAGTATTACATACTGAGAGCCATCCTAGCCTTGAGTTAGAGAAGGAAGAGAGCTAAAACCTTGACAGCTTTTTCCAAGTATTTTTCAGGCAATTGGGATAACTTAAAACTGTTAATTTCTGTCAGGGTGAATAACATCTACTGACGTTTTATAAGGTTTCTCTTGCAGGTGTGTGTCCATAAAATGCCAGTCCTCTATAGTGCCTTCTAAGAAAACCAGAGACAAACCCTGGATTTCTTGTACATAAGGAAAAATGTGTCTGGCACAAGGTGAACAGGGGAGCATGTTGGACATTGTTCAGCCCTTCCTTTTACATCCTAAAGAAACAAATATGGGCATAAATGTAACCTTTTCCCCCTTTGTTTGTCACTATTAGGCCTTGCAGTTCCATCACCTACATGAAATTATCTGCCAGCCAGACATCAGAGCCACTTGAACTCTTGGTGCCTAATTATATTGCATCCATGTTTAAGATTTGACCTCTGAGTTACCAAAAATGTTGATAAATAAATGGCTTTATTCACTTTTTCTAGTTTGTTTTATGTCCACAGATCTCACAGTCCGTAACTTGAAGGTACCACGTCTGTTACCTTAGCTGTCTGTGCAATGTACTCCTACATTAATGATGGGTGAAATCCTAACTAGCTAGTGTTTTCCAGACCCTTTTTAAAATTCAAGATATGAAAGTTCAAAGGGGCAATTGCATCCCTTCTCATGATGACACTTAGGGCTTGAAAATGGCTTACATCTGATGTTGAGATTGTGGTTTGCCTAAGATCTCAGAACTCTTGAGTATCTTGTAAAGGATTGCAATCAGGAGGAAAAGTTACATGTATCAGTTTTCAAGTCCCTTGCATTGTGTTCATTCATGAGACAGAACTGAATTAATTATGCAGTGTCATTGCCCTTTGTGCCCTTAGATTGGTAAAGGTGTGTGCTTTCAGTGAAATAGTCTAGTTTGTAAAAATGACTTGGATTAAGCACTCTAGTCATACTCCTAACCTTAGCCAGACTTTTGAGGATTACAGTAGCCCTTCTATTCAAGGTGAGATTTCCTGGGCTGCTGTACATTGCTAGTAAAACAGTTAACTCTGTATTAGTCCTTGCCTTGTGTAACTTTTAGTTTGTAAAGAAAAGAATGACTTAATTGGCATCCCAGACATGGTAAAATGACTCCTACACTTAGAATATCTCCACTGAGGAAAATACTTCAATATAGTTTCTCGCTGGTAAGAGAGGTGCAGGGAAATAACAGCAGTAATATTATGATGGGGGGTGGGGAAGGGGCATGGGACTATTCATAGATTGTAGAGTCAGAAGGGACCACAAGGGATCATTGTGTCCAACCCCCGTGCCCCTGGCTGGAAAGAGGACTGAGGTCAGATGACCCCAGCCAGATGATTGTCAAGCCTCCTCTTGAAGACCTCCAAGTTAGGTGACAGTACTACTTCTGTTGCTTATGAACTGAGACCAGAGGGATACAAATATTGGCTTAAGAGTAGGGTGACTATATATCCAGGATTTCATAGGCTAGTCCCAGCTGGTTGGTCAAAATTTAAACTGAAGTCCCAGAATCACAGGGTTGCAGCTTTCCCTCCCCACCAGACTGTACCTGTAGCACTGCTGACTGGGGGAGAGGGCCATGTTCCAGACTTATTTATGGCTGCTGGCACAGCTGTTTGAGCACTCGTGGTGCTCCAGTCAGGTCCCTGAGGACTGGAAGAGGGCCAATGTGGTGCCCATTTTCAAGAAAGGGAGAAGGGATGAGCCGGGTAACTTTAGACCAGTCAGTCTTATCTCTATTCCTGGGAAAATGCTAGAGAAAATAATCAAAGAACACATTTGTGCAGGCCCAGCAGGGGAAACGATGCTGAGGGGTAACCAGCACAGGTTTGTCACAGGCAGATCCTGCCTGACAAACCTTGTAGCCTTCTATGACCAGGTCACACACTGCCTGGATGTAGGAGCCAAGGCTGATGTCATCTTCCTGGACTTTAGGAAGGCCTTCAACACAGTTTCGCACCTTATCCTCATTGGGAAGCTAGCAGACTGTGGAGTGGACGGTGGATGGTTCCTTCTCGGCCTGGAGGGAGGTGGGCAGTGGGGTCCCGCAGGGTTTGGTCCTTGGACCGATATTATTTAATATCTTCATCAACGATTTGGACGAGGGCGTGGAGGGCACCCTTCAAGTTTGCTGATGATACCAAGTTATGGGGCAAAGTTAGTACACCGGAGGGCAGGGAGCAGATTCAGGCTGACCTGGACAGGTTGGAACAATGGGCAGAGAGAAATAGGATGCAATTTAATAAAGATAAATGTAAGGTACTCCACCTGGGAAGGAGGAACCCAACCCCCAGCACACCTATAGGTTAGGGAGTGGCAGCTCAGAGGCAGAGAGGGATCTTGGAGTCATAATTGACTCCAAGATGAACATGAGCTGGCAGTGTAACGAGGCCATCAACAAGGCCAAT